CCGTTAATCACCTCATTCCTATCTAAATGGTTTTAAAACCAGAGCTTTAAAAGAGTTCTTGCGTTACCATTCCTGTAAAATTCTGGACATGTAAACCACTCACTGACCTTTCCTTTGCTAGGGCTTGCTAGGGCTCAGATCTCAAGTGCTGATAGCATGATGGCTTTGTATCCAAAATGATAAAGTGAGTTATTCACCTCAACACAGCCTGTGCTCTACAGCGATGCAGATCTGACAGTGGACAAGGATCAATGAGAAAATTGCATTGTTAGCAAAAGTATCAACAATGAAAGACCTGCTATTTGGTGAGAATGTAACAGGAACCAACGTTAAAGGAGACAGACAGAGACTGGCATAAACAACATTTAGGACACAAGATAGGCATAATGAGCCTGGCATTGTTCTAAAACAGCATGCTGCATTCTGTGAGAGCATTTGGTCAGCAGTGCCAGCCTGTGAGAAGAGACACTTCTGCCGTGCAATTTGTCTAAACCAAGAGGCATGACCGGAGAGTATGTGCAGTAGTTAAATGAGTTGGATCCTTGTGTCTTAAGGACACAGGGGTAAATGTCCACAGCCTTGGTCTCTATGGCGTTCCATGACTGGTTAGGTGTAGCCACAAAACAGATTGATGGTTCAGGTAATGAAGCCAACAACAAGACACAGACAAAAACAGATCTTTTTGGAATGCATGCCACAATATAGTCTTGCTCATTTCATTATAGTGGGGCATTCTTCACAGTCAGTCACTGGCAAGAAGTTTGACGTCATATTGTCGACAGATCAGGCTTAGTGAATTTTGTTTCCCCAAACTGTGCAGACAGCTGAATGAGAATTTGTTTTTTTGGATTTACCAGACCCTAACACGGACTACTTGAACCGAGTGACATGCCACAGCTCTGCCTGCCAACGGCAGCCGATGTGGTAGCATAACCCTGTTGTCGTACAGCTAAAAAGGCCCTTCGAGTGCTGAGGCTCAAAGTTAATGAGTTGAATCTCTGCCCCCTGGCATGAAGCTAGTACTTCCTGCAGACTGAGAGGAGATCAGGTTGGCCTGCTGTACTCTTCAAGAACAACGTCGTCTGTATGCAGAACAACGTGACTCATGTATCCTGAAGTTCTTCTACTTGGTGGGGAAGATACTTGAGGAGAGGACAGGAGGAGACAAAAAATTAGGGACCAAACCCTTTCACCGTTAAATTGCAGGATGATGATGATGATGAGCCCAAAACAAACTAGAATTTTTCTTGCTTGGCTAAACAGGAGTAGTTAACTTAATGTCTTCCTGATAAATTGCAGCATTACTAATCTGGATGGATGATTGTCGAAGCACTGCCACTGATGCTGGCAAGCCCGATTTTTGAGCTGCCTGTTTATGTGCTTGTGGTCAGAACTGCATGGAAATTTTTCCATCTGTAAATAATCAGACGCAGGACATTATATTTAGGGGGTGAACGTTGAGTCATACTGCACAGACTGATCCTTTACGTCAGTGGTTCCCCAATCTTTTTTTGTCTGAAGCACCTCCACAGCTCTGTCATATTAGCTCAGGTGCTGCTTAATTGACATCTCTGGTAATGTTACAAGGGTGTCAATTGGAATTGATTTTAACATCAACATCTTCCATAGTAAAGTCGATATTGTTGATATTTTTTCATTCAGTGGAACCTTGGAAGTTTGCAATCACCACTGAGGTGAAGTTGAATGGTTTTATCAGTTATTCAAACATTTATTCAACAATGTATTCATTAGGCTACTTTTAGTTAACTATTTTAACAATTATCCATTGCTTTTAGCTAACTGTGTGACTGTGCTAACTATTTTCACACATTCTCAATCACAACACATAGGCTAATGTTTAAGTGTTAAAACTGGATAAAATCAAATCATAATTGCCAATTTTTCAAAATAGTTGAGCTACTCTACAGTATTTTCCTACAAGGAATCACCGCTTCACATCATTCTTTTAGATAAAACTAAGGACAATGGGGAGCAAACTGTAAGATATAGTGTACTGACAATCACACTTTGTATCCTTGAAAACATCTGGTATATTGTGTTTTACTAATGGTAAGAACTTACAGTACGTGTTTAAGGTAATGAATCAAAACTCTGCACATTTTGACAGCACGTGTCTCCTTGTTATACTGATATGATTACACCCCTGGTGCTCTGAGGAGACAGGATTTGTGTTGTGACTTCCTACTGTGGTTTATCAGTGAGGATTCTTAGACTTCAATTTGAATGTTATTTTGACCCAGGCAGCCTGCCTCACATATCCAGAAATAATATACTGCTTTTATTAAATGCCCAGTCTGATCTATTTCAGTTTTTCTTATGGAGAAAATGCATTTTGTATTTCCCCTCACAAAACCCTGCTTCAGCTTGGGCGCTATCGTGTTTACCTCAGATTTACCAAGGCAATATAGTATGTTCTCAATAATGCACACACTGTGTTCCTGTTGATGCCACACTGTGAAACCCTGTAAGTCGTTGTGGTGTTGATGTTGAGAGTGCAATTATGGTAAGAATGTGCGGCGATGTGCCTGGGCAGACTGTACTTTGCTGTTTGTCTTGGTGGTGGTCTGAGGCTGCTTAATAGTGGCGCTTTGGTACTGGAAGAACACTGAGCTTCTGGATTGATGAAATATCCCTGAGATCCAGCATCTGAGGGACTGAAATTCATTACACATGTCCCCAGTCTCCACAGTTTAACCCTGTGATCAAGCGCTGCCCCTTGATCACCCGTGGAGAGAAATACCACACAGAAGTGCTCTCCTGTTCTCCTGAGGGAGTTTGTTGTTGAGTGTGAGAGCCACTAGACTCTTGAAAATAGATAAATAATGTTGGTAAGCCGCAGAATTTAACTGAATTGAATTTAGAGAGGTCTTATGGCCTTTTGGTGAAGAGAAAGAGACATCTGCTTCTCAGTCTAGCATGTGGTCTTTAGAGAGTTCATTACTTTTAGGGTTTACTGAGCCATAAGCTTTGGAAAGGATAAATAGCTGTTGATGTGTCATTAGAAATTAGCCTGCTGCGATGAAGTTATCTGAAGTGGGAAAGCTATGTGGTCATGTCAAGGTCTTGGGATGTTGGGTAGTCTAACCAGACAGCAGGTCCTGTTGTAGTGACTCATCAACTGGAAGTGAATTCCAATGTAAAATTAGCCCAATATGGACAAATCCCAGTCAAGTGTAGCATGTCGAACTGCTGGGAACATTGGTGTGCAAGAAGGCACGAAAGAGACAAAGGAGCTGGGTATTTCGATCTGCTTTTTGTCTGAAAATGTGAAGCCACGATTCCTCAAAGCGAGTTTTTTGTTGAAACAGTCTAACAAATTTGACCTCTGACATGCCAAAGCCCTTGCGTGAAAGAGATAAATTGGCTCTCTGTCACCTTGTTAACAGGCAAGAATCAATATCTGTCAACAAAAGACCTTAACCACAATACCGCGAACCTGCTGTGCCTCTATCACAGGCGGTAATAAGCACATCATATTTCAGCAACAGGCATGTGATCTGAAGTGACATGTTATTTTCTCCTCGCTTTTTTTTCCTGGATTGCGATCAATGTTTTTTATTTTTTTTATTTTTTTTAGGTTTTTCAGAAATCACATGAACAAAATAATGAAGAGTGTGTACGCCACGTGACGTGCTCATTATTTAAGGCAAGAACTTTCCATCCATCCATTTTTGCATCATACATTGTACATAGATGACTAACTGGAAAACAACCAGCTTTTATTGGACTATAAATGTGGTCACTAACAATTGTAAACAAATACAGTGATTCAGTCTGGGCTAAAGTCTGGCAACATGTACTCTCCCCTGCAGCCCCCCGCTGGTCTGTGCAGTCTGCACTCCGCACCACTTCTTTCTTGTGTCTCACTCAGTGGGAGACAACTATATACTGAGTACAGCATGAGCAGGTCAGAGGTTAGGAACTCAGTGGTGCGGGACGTCTCTTCAAAGATACTTCTACAATCGTGAGGCGGTGTGTGAGTGGCAGTTAGCAGCGGGTAGGCACATCAAGAGCATGTGAGTGCGAGGTGTGATCACTGTACGCTTGTGTCTCTTTCTTCCGCCAGACACCACTGTGCTGTGGGAAGTGCAACAAATCAGCGGTTAGATTTACTGACATTGCTACTGACGCCTGACTACTTCAGGACTCTGGGCTTTCTATGAATAACATGTTCTGACACGTTGACTTTGTAAAATCTGCTATAATTTTGCGTCTTTTGGTTATTTTGGGGCCTTCAGCTTTTATAGTGATTAACATGTCTCCTTTTATTGCATGTGCTTTGGATACAAATGTCTGCTAAATAATGTGCTATATGGTAACTCGTGTGTAGTGTTAATGAATCGTTGATTTTGTATATGTAGACTATGTTGTGTCAACAAAATTATGCTGAGATAATTACACTCTGGCGCTAACAAGACAGCTTGACAATTGAAAACACAGACACATGCAGATCCATGCTGGTTGTCAGCCAATGCTCATCAGAGGCAGCATGCTGTTATTAGGAATTAATACCACCGTAGTGGTCAGAGTCATGGCATGAGCAACACTCCTCTGGGGGAAAGCGCCTTCTCTCACTCTGCATGTGCCCAAGCCACAAGCATCCCTGAGTTACATAAGAGTCCTTTTTTGTGTAGGCGTAGACTTCCATGTGTCTTTTTGTCTCCTGACGGCCACTCAGGACAATGAAATGAGGTTCTAATATCCTGATAGGATTAGCCAAGGGAGAATCTGTCATCTTGATAAAGTGATAGAGGCGAGGCCTGATCTGTCTAAGTGTATTTCCAGGATTCTGAAATGAAAAATGTGCTCTGAAGGGAATGGGGCCGGGTGTTTGCCAGACTCATGCAGTCTTTTTCTGTTGTCAATGGATTATTCATGCAGCGAGGAAGGGACTTACATCTAAACTAAAGAAAACTTAAGTTGGACTGCAGTGAAGAACTAAAGTGACCAAATCCAGACATGGATTAAAAAAAGCACAATTTATTCAAATGTAAAACAGCTCTTGATGCCTTGTTTACAAAACACTGTTTAGTAAATGGCAAACTACACTTTCATTATATACATTCACAATAGATGATCAGAATATACAGTAATGGTCCTCTGATTGGATAAAACATTCTGGAACATCTCTGAAATAAGTGGATTTATCAATAGTCAGGGGGGAAATATAATTTTTATCATCACTGCATAATTAGTGTGGCGCAGCAGAAAGAGGTGCTTGTTTTAGGTTTAAAGTGCATTTCCTGAGTAGATTTATTTGAAGGATGACGGTCCTCAGAATCAGGCAGAGAAGCCATGCTTTTCCTTCACAACCCATATGCTGTCAATCACCTTACCATACTGGAAGACAGAAAAGGCTTTGTTATTACTTAAGCAATACTCTTTGTGCTTAACATGTATCATTTCACCTTTGCTTTGCGTGTGTGCCTGTGTTCCCACCTGATCATCAGAGACCTGCTCCAAGTAAACATGGGTAGTGTTGACCACTTGCATGCGAGTGTAGCCGTAGTCTGTGCTGCGGAAAGCGCTCCACTCTTTGGGGTTTGGATTGAACCTGTCAGTCCTCTCTCTGCAGCCCTGCAGAGGAATCAGCAGTGACTAAACTGAATCTGTTAGAGATGAACCTCATGTCTTTCTTATACTCTGTCCACAAAGCCCTGTGTGACATTTACAACTGTGGTTGTGCCTCGGTGTGAGTCTGGCTGCCTTTCGATAGGCTGATGACTAATCCCTCTGTGGCTGGATGACAAAGCATGCCCTGCGCTGCTCGCTACCACATCAGAAAACACTTAACCAGAGGAACAGCTGGTACTAAACTCCTGTGGCAGACCAGCTGCCGCACACACTGGCCTATGTATAATACATAACATTGTTTTTGTTGATGTTGCTGTCAATTCATGCATTGATCTCTGTGGGAAAACGTTAACAGTGATGCGGTGATGTGAAAGTACTTACAGCAGAGCCTGTGATAATGTGAACAGGAGCTCTGGGGTTCACGTAAGGCTGCTCTTTGCTCCCATTGTACACCTAAAGAGAAAAGCACAGTGAGTCTCTCTCTGATTCAAAACAGAGGCTAAAAAGACATAAAGAGTGCTGTGAATTAGATAATATAATAGCTGACCTTGTCACCATAGACAGGCCAAAGCCTCTCATATGTGTGCTCATGTGCCCATAGCTCCAGATCCACTCCTGTGAAAGTGATGATAGTCAGCAACCTTCCATAGAAAAAATAACTGCCCAAACAGCTCAACGAAACACATCTTGCTGTGTAATCTAGTGTTCCTCAGATCCTCTGCCCATTTAATTTTGAAATTTCTCAGCAATCAACAAAAGCTTAGGATCAGAGCAACCAAAACTTTCAATGTTCCACCACAAGTTAAATAATTAAATGCAACAAACAAAGGTCTAAGAAATGTAATACAGGAAAAACATTTGGGAAAGAGCTGGTGGGATATCAGCCAGACCAAAAGCCTGCTTTTTTACTAAAGGATGTTTGGATTGCTGCGCTCGCTGCAACTGTTAAGACATTAGTCTGTCTGAGCGTGCAAATTTGTGATCTTAAACACCCATTAGCAGCACGCAGCTGGTTGTCGAATAGGGTGCATACCATAGCTGTAAAATAGATCCTCTAGACCAGGAGCTGGTGGTTTGGTGTCATTCCGTCCCCGTCGTACCTGAGATATAACAGAGAGGAACAATGACGGCGTGATTTGGTATCAATGTCCGAAACACTACCTGCTACCTGAAACACTACCTGGTAGAGACCCATTACGCCCATGCCAGCCTCTCTCGAAACACTGCCAAGTGCTGAGAGGAGCTATTCTAACTGGAAACTATTTGGTCAAAATTACAGTGATTATGAGAGCATACCGTACCCAATGTGCTTATGGGCTGTGATGTGGACTGGCCAGCATGCAACATGCTTGACACGTCTGCTACCAGGGCCAATTAAAGTGTCAGGGAGTGCAACAGGAAATAAAGCCCACAAATACCTTTATATGATAGAATAAAACCTTTAACAATACAGACGTGCTGTTGTTTGCATAACCAAGGACACAGCGCAGAATAAACAATGAGTCCTTTGTAGGTAATTTATGTAATGTTTAAGGAAATTATATAATTCTCTAGCTTTGCTGAATTAAATAAAATCACATCAGGTATGTAGTCGTATTACCAAAATGGTGATAATTATGCTTTGCTAATAAAACGTCTGCCCTCAGGAATTCCAAGGGGTGTGAGTGGCACCATCCTCCTTCACTCAGTGAGGACTGTAGAGCTTCTCTAGACTTAGTTTCCATCTACATAAGATTACCTGTCAGTATGAGTTTGACACAGACTTCCCACCAAAATAAAATCAATAGTTTTGGTTCATATGTACATTAGGCAAAGACTATGAACTCATACATGGGGATTCTGTGGTCTACACTTACATAGGAGTCAAACCCGGTACAGTCATCCTGGTCATCATCGGAGCAGTACATGGGTCTGTGTCCCATGGTGATAATCCATGGACGCACTGCTCTGTTCTCTGGCTTGTTGGCCTCCTAGATCAGGAGATGGACACGCATATGTAAACGTGTGCCAGATTAAGAAAGGGAAACAGAGGTTAATTCAATTTTATTTGAGACAGAATGATAAATCAGTAGATTTATAATGGAGAAAAAGAGAATGGAACTACTTTGAAAGATAGTATTGTGCTGAAATGGAAGTTTAGAGAAAGGCAGAGAGCAAGTGTGGGAACAAAGGAGAGCATTTAGTCATCGTGAATGTGTAATTGGTGTAGTCATTAACCTCCAGGTCTTTCTTCAGCCACTCATACTGCTTGAAGAGGAGCTCCAGGCCGTAGTCGAGATAGAAATAAACCTCAGTGGAGAGGGAGATGATGTGCGCTGACCCCAGGTTCCAGCTGCGGACACACATCATTAAAATCATGCACAGCCTCGACCCAGTAGAGGAAGTAAGAGAGCAAGAGCAGGCTTCACTTTAACCTCCGGATTGTGTGAAAAACACTCCAAAATGCATGCATGCATTGCTGGCATGTTGATGTTGACCACAGATGATTAATTTTAATGAATTAACACACATTTGTTTCTCTCAATCATTTCAAGCCGCGTGGGATTTGGGGGTGTACTTTTAACTTAATGTGAGAAGACATGGAGCAAAAAGATCTTACAGTAATAAGAATGCTTACATGGGACGTTAAAAAAAAAAAAAAAAAAGGCATGTGTTCTGTACATGTGTGCTGTATGTTTCCAGTAGCAGTTGAGGGATTTCCGATTGCCTCTACGGTGTCCTCTCTTCCTCCCCTTGTTCATAACCGCGCACATGAGCGAAGGGCTCTCAGCCAGCAGGCCTGTCTGGGTCTGGGCCCAGGGACTGAGGAGTGGGCAGCTGGCCTGTGGACTAACAGGGTATTATCTTACTGTCTGAGAGAAGGAAGTCTGAAGTGGGCTATGAGTCACCTAGTCAGATGTATAGCTCCTTTGTGTAGTTCCCTTGTTCCTAAGATAGGAGAGGCAAACTAAACTAAGAGAAGGGAGCGATGCTATCCTCTGCTCCCAGTTTCTCTGGGCTGCCCCTTACAGCTCATTAATGCTTGCCTGAAACTGAGTAGGAGGTTTGGTACAAGTTCACATGATACTCTCATGGGGCCTCTGTTGGAAAATAATAGATTTTTCCTTTCTAGCTTTGTGCGTACAGCTAGCATCCACTTCTTGCATGAAATGGTCTTCTACTGACCACAACTGCTTGTGGTTCTTTCACCTGCTTAAGCCCGTCAAAGTTCATCTTGACTAAAGCAACTAATATCGTGTTCTTTTCCCTTACCTGTACCACAGGCTCTCAGTCTGGCCTGGCATACTGAAGCGATTCCTGTAGTTGGAGAAGTTGCTGTGAACAGAAGATCGTGAGAAATGTAATTAGATGGAGTGATCATACAGTGTACGCTCCTTGAATATCTAACAAACAGCAATTAACGCCACAAACTGCCGCTCTCTCTTATTTTGCGGTGCCTACAGCACAGCTCTGCAAGACCTGCAATCCATTCAGAATACAGTCAAGATAATTCCAAGCTTCGCTATACAATGTGACTACACTTTTATTTTAAGGCTGACTTCTTAAAATAACAGTATTTTATGTCCATTTTCAGTTTTCACTTGGCAGACAACGCAGGGCGGTATATCATCGGATAAAGATGACCATCAAACTGTGGTGTTGACATCTGCTTCTAACCTCTAAAAAAAAAAAAAATGTAGCCATCCCTAGATATTCTGAGAAACCATACACTTTGCTGTAGCCAGGCTATCAATGGCTGCCCCTCCAAATTAAAGGCTGTAGAAAAACATGGATGTAGCCTCTGTGACATCACCCTATAGGTTTTTAAGAGGATGTTTTGAAGCTTAGAATCTTGGTCAGTTTCTGAAGCCAGATAATCAAAATTTGGGCGATGCGGGGGAGCCCTGGGTGGAGCCGAGATCGGATGAGCAAGTAGGAGCCACCATGGCTGAGTGTACTACACCTGTCAATCAAGAAAAGAGGCCTCTAAATGCACCCTTCTTTAAACCATGACAAGAAGACTGTAATTTTAGATCCAGCAGCCATTAGAGGAGTCACATTTAAAGGCACTTCCATAGTGGTTTTAGCATTGAGTTGTGGTGGTTCCTACTTGATCCAGATATAGTAGGGTGCTTACCTAGATCAATCCACCACTACACTTACTGTATATATCATCACTACCACAATCGCCACCACTGATTTCTAGACACAGACACATCCTCCAAAAACTCGGCATCAGCTGAAAGAGCACCATCATCCACATTAAACCAGTCATGTCCAAATATTACAATGGGTGCACCATGCAAAGAGGGAAAAACTCTTTCATGGAAAGCTCTCCTTGACGCCAATCCGCCAGTCTCTTTTCACAGCTTTTTAATTGTCTGCAGAATGAAAGCAGGAGCCAGTCTTCTCAACGGGCCATTAACTAAGCGAGGTGATGGGAATAATTGTTTTCTTGTCTTACGTAAGGAAGAAAAAAAAAAGGCTACATTCTGGACAGCAGCCGGGGCAGGGTGAGACAGTTCAGATCCCTCCACTGACTGGGTTAATGTTGAATTAGGGGTAACTAGAGAACAGCAGGGTCAGAGGTCAAAGGTCATGAACAGGGACACACAAGGAGGATCGCAGAGACCTTCACCAATGCTGAATAAGTCTACAAGTAATGAGACCTGAGGTTTCTGTGGACACCTACATCAGGTTTAAAGGGCCAAGATCAGTATGATAATCAGTAAAAGCTCAGTTTGTGAGCTGTGATCAGTCAGCAAGGAGAAAACAGTTTGATTCAAAATCTCTTTGTATCCATTTTGACTATTTTATTTTACTATTACCCCAAATCAACACAATCTTCAACAGTTTATAGCTAAAACTTCAAAATTTCATGTTTAAGTCTTGATTATAAAAAATACTTGAAACCAGTATCTAAGCATTCACAACAATGCATCAAATGGAGTTAGTATATCCTAACTGAAGGGCAAAATTCATTCAAGTTAAACGAGGGCCAATGGGGTGTGATCTGCTCCTGTGGAAACCAATTAAGTTCTGGAGTTCTAAGTCATGGCACTGAACCAGGAACAGTCAGAAGATGGGTTTATACTCCCACCTTGTGGCTAGGAAGGGAACCGGCAAACATCTAGGGGCATCTGGGAAGGCATTTCTAGTTAGTAGCAATAAACAATCAATTTTCATTTAGTGAAATAATACACATAGTCGCTCAGAATCCAAACACAGTGATATAACCAGGCTTACCCTGAGGAAAAGGATTTTGCCTGTAGAAATAAAATCAACCACAGGCTTTAAAGTATTTCGTTTTGTGGCTCAGCTGTGGAAAATCTGATTGAGTACAAATATGATAAGCTTATATTTGTGTCATTAAGCTGCACTGAGATGTTCCAATGTAACATGTGAGTCATCCTCTGTAACCCAAAGCATGCTTGTTTCCACGTGTGTTTGCTTTTCCACTAAAACAAAGTTGAGATAGGCATCTGGTGGATGTCAACTTCAATGTGAAAAGCCTGACTCTTAAACTGACCCAACAAGATTTTCCCTCCTCATCAAATCTTCCTTTTCATCATCTGATGAGCTTAATCCAAGTAGTTGGAGAAATTAAAGGAGCCAGTTCTAGTCGTCAAGAATCATATCACTAACTCCCATCACAGGACATTGTTTCAAACGGCGACAATAACTGCCCAGTTCCCCCGAGGACCTGATGAACCATACGTTGTGCTTGGTGAACAAAGACAGTCTTGATTGGGGCCTTAGCATCTTCTGTGGACCCGCTGTTCTCATACTGCTGGAATGCTGACTGAAAACTTTTGTGGTCAGCACAATTTCAATTGCCTCTTACCCATTAGGTTTTGAGGTTGGAAAGAGAGAGGAACAGAGAAGTATAGTGAGAGGGGAGCACAACAGACGGCAAGGAAGAAAGGCAGCAGCCAGCCGTTGGGAATATTTGGATTCTTAACAACACCGCAGAACAAAACACACATTTAGGTATAGGAGAGGGAGGGAGGAACTGGATTTCTGGTTATGTAATGCAGCGAGCTGGTTCTTGATATCAGTTTCTTATGTCAGGCTGCAATGCCAAAGAAAAGAGACTACTGTTAGCAGCTCCTTAATGAAGACCAGGCAGTAGTCACATTACACATGGCAAGGCCAGACAAGGACTGTCTGTACAGTAAAGCAAGTAAATATTATGGTACAGGATCAGGCACCAAGTCTTTTAAAATGCATAAACACACACAACCAAGACCCGCAGATGTTCTTGGAATTCGACACACACAGTAGCTGCTGATCCTCAGGATAAAAAGCATATGAAGGCTGCTGAAAATCTTCCATCATCTTTAATAAAATTCTATGGAACTGAAATTGTAATTTACCTCGAAATCTACTGAAAACATCTGACTAACAACATATTGTAATATATTACAGGATATTTATCTAAAGGAAAGATAAAAGCAATAATATAATATGTAATACAGTATGTCATAACATCTATGCAAAGACCCTGCACGTACAGCTGGACTCTAGGCTGCTATGATTTGTTCAGGCTTTAACACATGATTATGTCCATAATCAATAAATCTGGCTTTTATTGATTAACTGATAACTTTTTGTCCGTAACTAAAATTAAAAAAATTAAATTAAATAGTCAATCGTACATAATCATACAAACTGTCATAGATCCGACAATGAGAAACAGCAAATTTGAGAAGCTAGAACCTGCCAATGTTCAGGATATAGCTTGAAAATAATGACTCAAGTGCTTAATCAATTATCAAATTAATTTTCAGATGATAGACTAATCGATAAATCGACTAATTGTTTCTAATTAGTTTTACCACTATTGAGTCTCTGCATTGTTCTCTCCCCTGTTTAGTCTCTTCGTCCACAAGGTTTCCAGGACTTAAATGTGAACAACACATTCAGTGACGATGAGTCAAAACGCAGACAGTTCCCATCACCACAGCCTGACGCTGGGAACTGAAAAACAGATAGCGAGCTGATGATTCCCAGTCAGATAAATGTTTGTTTTGGAAAAGGTTGCCTTGTTTAGATGTTGGTGGTTCCTGATGCTGCTCCAGCCTTTACAGACCAAAATAGTTCCCATCTGTTCAAATGGTACAGTGAGGACTTTTCGGCAGACCAACGTGTTTTCTAGCAGAAAAACTGCTGACCAGAGAGGGATTTTTTTTTTTTTTTTTGAGAGGGGGGGTTGCAAGCACCCCCAAAAACATGCACATTCACACTTTACTTTAAACATAAAGGAAAACATTGGCTAATAGAAAGCAGAAGACAGACAAAAGACAAAAGACAGCTTTCATTTGACTCACTGACCACGAAATGTCATCACACTTAAAAGAAAGATTTCTTTGCAGAGTGTGTGTCTATTACACCCAAAGAGTACAAATGTCACAGTAAGAAAATAGACATTTATTGAGTACCACCTACTATGTAGCTTCGTGGTTGCCTGGACAGGTCATGTAGGGCACGTAGGCTGCTATGGACTGGATCTGCCTCATGAACTCATCCCCAATCCTGGCATTGTCCTGGAACATATGTCATTTAGCTGTTAAACATGACGCCAAAGATTTTCCTGTTAGACAACAATGTTTCATTTTTCTCCTTTTACTGACACTTAGCCAAATTATCTTTAACAACTGACTCAGTCCATTTTCCAGACAAATGCAGGAATGTTTCATCAGCCTACCAAACAAACCTCATTGAAACCAGAAGTGACTTTTTTAAAACACTGCGGTTCATGGCTGTCCTGACGGCTTTTACCTGCCACAGCCATTAATGACCTTTCAGACAAAATTCCCTTTCTCTGTTTTTCTATTTATAATATGAGTGAAGCCGCAGGATGTACTTCTACATTCCAGCTGAAAGCACAGCTTGGTTATTAATTTTTGCAGGAGTCTGCTGATTGCATTTAGCATTCTCTCCATATTAAAAAAAAGGGTACTAATAATGCAGGAACTCGTTTCAGGAAAAATGATATTAGCATCCAAGACAAGGTTATGTCCGCTAAATATCACAGATGACAGCTGGGAGGTTTTCAGATGAGCAAATATGTTATTGGGTCTTAAGATTTGAGGTTTTGAATGGCATTATTTTTATTCATGAAATACTTGGGCGACATGAACCGGACTCTCATCTTTCACCGCAGGCTTAAGGCATTTCGCAGTAATGCTAATCATAAGCTGTGTGTCTCAACCACAGCTGAGTGCCTTTATGTGCACTGCTAATAAACAGTGATGAGCCTTGGGAAGGGGACAGTGGTGAAAGGTAAAGTGGCTTATCTCATCTGTCGTTGTGGAATTAGTGGAATATCAGAGCGGCTTTAAGAGTATAAACTACTGATGAAAGAAATTTGCTGTCTGATTTTAACTGAGCTCAGGTATCATCAGAGTTTATGAAATTAGGATGACGGAGGAGTAAAATACCTCATGCATGTCGTAGGCAAAGTCCCCTGTAAAACAAAAACAAAAAATATATAGATTTAGCTAGAAATATTGTATTTTCTCATAAGTTTGAATTTATAGCATCAGACTTAAAGGATCAGTTTCCATTTTAGAGAGTATGCTAGATGAGTTAGATGAGAAGAGCATGTACGGTTAATGTGCAGCTAGGGCCAGCAGGCAGTTAAATTAGCTTAGCATAAAGACTGGAAACAGCTAGCCTGTCTCTGCCTGTACTGTTGGAACTAATCAATTGCTGAGCTTTTGAGGTGTTGCTTGTTTAGCATACAGACATGAGCGTGGCATCAGTCTCCTCATACAACACTCAGCAAGAAAGTGATTAACCCCAAAAGGTCAGAATATTCCTTTAATAAGTGACTAGGACTACAGTTAGCCTGAAACCAAAGTGTGATCGTGCTTTGTGAGGCAGTCACACAATTATATACTCTGTAAACACATAAAGTGGATGTAACACAAGTTTGTGTTCGATTTGTTTTCTAGCATGAATCTGAGACAGGGACCAAAAGCTAGAGAGCCTGAGATTCTGTCAGATTTTTTTGGCAAACAAAATTTGGCATAACACAGACCTATATTCTGTTTAGTTTCTACTTTCCACCTACTAATATTTTCAACTCTGAAACTATGGAGCAAGCAAGTGACCGACATCCAACACAGGTTGTTCAAAAGCGAAAATGACAAATGGGTATTATTATGTTGATTACAGCAATTACTATCTTGATAAATTACCTCTTCATCAGACATTTCTGTTGGATCTCATCTCACTTACTTGATTTGATTTATGTTAATACAATCTGTTGTGAGCTGTGCCAAGTATCTGTGGATGACTAATGCCTTGGACTCACTGACAAAAACTTTAATGTCTCTTCCACTGACTTTGCAGTGCAGAATGTTGCAGTGTTTGTGCAAGTGTGGAGCTTACCTATGTGCAGGATAACGTCGTACATGCCAAGCTGTGTATCTTTTTGTAATCGAGCCAGAGACTGAGGGTTTTCATTGCCCAGGTCACCATACAGAGCAAACCTTGGATTGAAACTGGTGCTGTCGTTCAGAGCAATGAAGGAGAACACATCACTCCAGCCCACATCGCTGCCACAGTGGTAAACTGAAATAACATAGGAGAGATATTAATCTTTACATGTCATGTGGTGAGACAGTCTGACAAAGAGAAAGTCAGTAATAATAAAACCCAACCCACCATAAGCAGCAGCAGGCTTGAGTTCTATGAGAGTGACTCTGTGGATGTACATCTTCCTCTTCTCCTCTCCTGAGTCCACGAACAGAGTAGCGTTACCTCTGGTGGTCATCTCAAAGAGCCGACCCCCCAGAAGGCCATACTCCACCTTGCTCTCTGTCTTATTGAAGGTGGTCCAGGTTACTACCATGGAACCTGGCACTCCTGTGAAGAAAAGTTAACAGGTGTTGGAAATGTGATGCAGATTGATCTGACAGAACTACTGGATTCACTTACCGGTGCATATGTGAAAGCCAAGAGATGCTGACTTTGCACAAGAGTGTTGCTTTTGATCTTGCCGCTGGCAAGACACTGAGTTAAGCTGACCACTGGCCAGGTACTCAATTCATCAAGACATCAACTCATTAAATGACTACCACATGTTTCACCTTCATAGGGAAAAAACAAAAATATATTTCTGTTGTACTGACTTTGCGCATCAGGGTAACATAAGCTATATGTGTGGCAGTTTAAGCAGTGATCTGGTGCATTTGACCTACAGTAAATGACTTACAGAGAGTGGACAAGTAGTGTTTACATGCTGCAGGACTCTTTAGCAGAACATGCTTCTGTTGCTGGGAGTAAACCTTAATGTTTCATTGAGGACTTCAGCCTTTAATTAAGCTACATTACATGAAACTCACAAGCTTTTTAATATCAAGATAACTGAAAGTGAAATGGACTTTTTAGTGAACTTGTTGCAGAGCCACGTACCAGTAAAAGTACCGGTGCTTTTAGTCATTATATCATTGAGTGATCTGTACAAAACATCTGCAAATCTGCAATCCATATGACCTGGACACTGGCTTGTATTCGTATGGGGAAAATAGCATCCCTAATTGAAAACACACGAAGCCGATACAAACCGATCAAGTACTTACCTGTATAGGAGAGATGCACCTGCTCTGGCTGGGTCCAAATGGGAGGAACACCAAGCACCAACAGGGGTGCAAGGCTTAACAAGGCACAAGCAGCATGAACAGGCACCATTTTGACACTGTACAGCAGAAACAAGAGGCTAGTTAAAGTAGCAACACAACACACACCCAGATAATAAAATTGTTTGCCACTGCAATCACATGATCTTTAAAGCTCTCATTCCAAAAACTATATGATAAGGGGATATAAAACAAAGCAGATAAATATATTTTCTCTTTTAAGCCTTCCAATAACTTACCCAAGTTAGAGCAAGTTCACACTGCTCCGTGGCAGCAACACACAAACACACACAGACTGTATTTTGGTCTTTGATGAGAAACTGGACATCAGTCAACCTGCAGTCACCCTGAATGATGAAACTGCAGAACCAAAACAGCAGAGTCAGCGAGAACTGCACGGAAAGAGATGATGTGTCAATAAAAGCAGCTGATGTTGTTTTTCATTGTGCATTCAGGGAAGTACTTCTGTGAAAGTGAGCTCAAGTACAACAGAGGTTAGCCCACAAGCCACAGCTTGCCTCGAATCAATAAAGTGCTAAGGCAAACAGCTGATATCATATGCCTCACTGATCAGGATAAGGGCAGTATAAGGGCCATGGGTCACGACGCATATGCAAATTTGAGCCAAAACCATCCCAGATATTATTACTGATAAGTTATGGTTACTGAAGACGTCAGTGAGATCAGGTGACTGGGAGCATGATTTAAAAACACTGGCGTGGACTACCCCTTTAACGAATCTGCACCACTAATATCTCAAAGGTCGCTAGAGGGTGCACATTGGACAAACTGCATTATGAATAAGATGCTTTATTCTCTGATATTGGGCGGTATTAGCCTGAGTCAGTTGGAAGTGTCTGTTAGCTAAGCTATCTGGCAGTCGCTTCAAATAAGGAAAGGGAAGGTTTAGCTCTAGTATCTCCGCTTAGAAAGGGAAAACCAGGTGAGTGCGACAGAGACACTATTCAGGATAGGTTATCAAGTTGTCAAATGTAACGCAGCTGAAGAATATCCTTACGTTAAGTATTTTTATAGATCACAGGATGTAACGTCAAACCTGTTTTAATTTCGTTAGCTGATTGACTCAATTACTTGTTATTAACAGCTAAATTATAGCACGTTAAGCTATACCGTGACACAATAAAAAGCCGTTTATTTTGTCTTTGAACGACACTTAGAGTTTAATGACACGGAATACGGTTTTTCGAAAAAGCGTATCAGTCTTTCTGACCCGAATAAGTAAGCTAAATGTTAAATTAATAGCTTAAAACACTCACAACACAACTCAGCTGTCTGGCCCGGAAAGCAGTTACTGACTACGTCATTGTGCAGAAGGACAACAATGCCCACGTGGATTATGGGAAATTGTGTTTTATTATGTTTAGCCTAAAGAGCCTGTATGGACTGGAAAATGAAAACTTTATTCTCTTTTATTTCATATTTTGTGTGTGTTTGTGTTTTAGGTATAGTAATTTGCTGTAACTGAGTCTCTTTTTGTTTAGGTATAATGGACTCCAACAGTGAGGATGGAGACTATCAAAATCTTGAGCATGCCTTCCACCATGATGCAGCCCAGTACAGAGTGACCTACCCTCGTGGGGGAAACACGAAAGAGGTGACCTGGGTATCTCCTTTTAAAATACAAATCTATTTCCATAAGCTGGACCTCTTTTGCTGCTTATCATAGTGTTATCACCATGCAAACTGTATTTTTCTATGCAGGTGGATTATGATAAAAATGAGGAGTCCAACAAAAAGAGGTAAGTCGTGCATGTTTTGTGTTTACTACAGCAATTGCATTATGTTTTTTCTCATTTCCCTCAGAACATTTTACCCTACCCAGGTATCCAGTGAGTCGCTCTGGTAACAACCCAGGCAGAGTGAAGCGGGTGGTGTCCTGTAAGAGGAAGACCCATCATCTGATGGTGGCTCGGAGGAAGCAGCTCGGGTCTGGGAGGAATTATGATGCTGCAAACAAGGAGAATGAGATGAACTGCGTACAGGACATGCAACAGGAGATATTTGACATGGACCCCTGGGAGTTCCCACTAAATGTCAACAATAACCACAAGGCTGGCAGAACAGGTCCTGAACAAAGCGACTACTCTACACTCACTGAGGTCAGGAATACTATCATGGCTCAGAGTATATCTCTGTTCCTTTTGCTGTGGCTCTTTTTATGAATTAGTGTTTTTCTGAAATGCTTAATCTGTCTGAACCGATCCATATTTTTCAGCTCACAAGGGATCATAAAACAATGACTGATGTGCTCTTTGGAAGAAATCTCAGACTGAAAGTAGCTTTAACACTGTGGCAGAGAAATGTTGGAGAGCTACTGACATACTTTCTGAGGTACCTAGTGTTGGTTGGTTGCAAACATGTGTCACGCAATATATGTGATAGAATTTCAAAGGTGTCATTACATCACTGTCTTTGTACAGAATCCAAGACACTGGTGCGTTTGTTGATTTTCTGCCCCTGATAAGCAAAAGGTAAGCATTGTATTTTGCAAGAGACTGAGTAACACAGCCTACAAGCGAAGTACATGTCATTTAAATCTAATTCTCCTGACAGCATTGACAAGGACTCTACAGAGATTACCATTGGCTGTTGTGTTGACCTCTTTCCTTTAGTCAAAAAAGTCCTTGCCAATCCATACGAAGAGTGAGTATCCCTGTTTGAATGAACCAGAATGATCACAAAATAAAATACATAATGCACATAGAAGGATTTACAGGATGTATAGTAGCAGGATAGATACAGAAACGGAAATAAATGATGTCATTTATACTTACAGGTATCTTATTGTTGGTTTAAACTGGATCAATTCAGTTTTGAAAAAGTGGTGGGAGGAACTAAATGCAAGTGGCTACAGTGGATCATCTAAACCTCTGTTAGATAAGTAAGTTCTTTTTGAGATATGCAATACTTCATACAGATAAATGCTGTGTATATATATATATATATATATATATATACAACTTAAATTGTCTTATCAAAGCATTAAGACAGTCAACAAATGAACATAAACCCATACAGCATCACTTAATATTATACAATATTTTACAATGTGTAGATCAAACTGTTGTGATAAAGTTGTTTTTTGTTTTTTGTTTTTTTTACTTTGTTGAAGGAATTTCCAGGTCTATAATCAGCAGTTATTGGAGTTATGGCATCAGGAGCCTTCACTGAAATCTGCTCCAGGAGCTGCAGGAGATATGGCAAAGGTCAGTGCTGTACGTATGAATACAGGGTTACCACTGTTATCGTTGACTTTGAATGTTCTTACACTGTTCATACTGTACAAAAAACCTGTTGGTCTTACTTTCCCTGATCTTTTTCCCTTAGGCCATTGATTCCTTTCTGTCCCAACTCACCTGACAGCAATGAAGAGCCAGATAACAGATCTTTCTCTGGTAACAGTGCCCTCAAATATTTCGAAAGTATCCTTGGTGGAAAGTGTAGATAGGACCTGCTACTGTGTTTTTAGATTGCACTGTATATTGTCTGTAGAGATTGGTGTATTTTGATCAGTTAAATACTGAGAATGTGCAATATGAAATTAACTGTGGCAAATTTGACATTATTATTATACAGTTTAAGTTATGTCACAGAAATGTGGATGCTTTGATGGCTGTAACAATAAACACAAGAATTTTGTTTCATTGATATGTTGTTTGTGTGTATCTCATTTAATTGCCCCAATGATGATAAATAAAGTTTGTATTTTTAATTTTAAAGTTTGTGGTTATAATCTTTTTGTGTGTTTAACTTCTTTTGTGGGAAGAGACAGCACTGATACATTTCTGTTAATTAATAAAAACTCAATGCACACCTTCTGTGAAACTATATACTGCACTTTAACACAACACAGTATTTAACCTAAAGCTTTAGTGCAGTTTATCACCAGCACCAAATTTCAGTTGAATCCCCACGGTTCAGCCTCACTCGGACTTCAGCCTCACTCAGTCTTAAAGTGATTTGAGTGAAGCAGATATATGGGTTAACATAGCTCATATCTCTCAATTTACATGCAGGTTTATCTGACTTGAAACAGATAAGTGGAGGGTTGGTGTCTGTCATTGTGATGTGAACCTGAGGCTGAAGTCCAGACGTGATTGGGCAGGAGAGGCTGTGTGAAAGGGCCAGCAATTCAGTGAACTCTGAATCTGTGCTCAGCAGTCGACAGTCTTGTTTGCACTCTCGTGCTTTTCATTAAGTCAGAAGAGACTAATACAGTAGGAGCATTGGAGAAGATTCAGGTATAGAGAACAATATATTTCTGTCACCTCATTACAAGGGCCTCTACTGAAGGTAAGCACACTGACCTTAAAGATTTCAGATGCCTTCAATTTTTTTTTTTTTCTTTCTTAGGTGGAGTATTGTTGTGTGTTCTTCATTAAGTTCACAGAATTCAATAAGAAGCTTTCATTAACTAAACCCACAGGCACAGGAAAGTGAAGGATGAAGTGTTTGAGATGCTGGCTGCCAGCAGTGGCCCTGCTGTTGCTTAGTGTGGCTGGAGTTAACATGGAGCATCTCCAAGCTGAAAACCTGAATCTGCTTCCTCCACACGAGCATAATTTGGTCCTGAACCGTGGAATGAGAGGTATTATTTGCTTGTGTCGACTTTCACTTTCAGTTTGACTTGTCTTTTTTTTTTTTTTGCTGTCTGTCTCAATGATGTGTTATTGGGGAATGAAAAACACTTCTAACTTAGTAGTAGTAGTAGTAGTACAGTGTAGTACTGAATTAACTTTATCTCAGATTATCTGTGTGGATTCTTCTGTGGGTGTGGGTCAAATTCCAGCCTGTAGACCCAAACTGCACAGTGACTCATTATGAGGTGATTTGTGTATCTTAGTTAGATAGTTTGTCAGACAGTTGTAATACTCTGGCAATTGATCAAGGTTTTACCATGTTTACATGGAAAATATTGAGAAACAGCGATGGTATGCTGTTAAAGTCACTGTAATGTCTAGTTCTTGCATGTGCATTGCTTTTTTACCACAGTGTATCTTTTGACACTGAAGACATAGGATGACATTTTAGGAAAAATTATTACTTTCTTGCCTTGAGTTAAATAGGAAGCTAGAGACCACTCTTTCCCTTTATTAATTCACAGTTATGACTGTTAATGTTTATGTTGCCCAACAGTGCTGCCCAGAGACTGTCATGAAATGCTGATGACCTCTTCAGGCCAGGCCAGAGATGGAGTGTACCTGATACAACCAGGTGACTCCCCCATCGTAGCCTACTGTGCCATGCAAGAAGGAGGATGGACTGTTGTTCAGCATATCACTGTTAACAGCAGCGTGGATTTTGATCGTACCTGGGCCGAGTACAAGCATGGCTTTGGGGATGTCACTGGGGATCACTGGCTCGGGAATGAATACCTTCATGAGCTCACCTGTGGTCCTGGGCGCTATAAACTAGGAGTAAAACTAGTGGACCCAGACGCCATCACCAAGATGGGGGAGTATGATCCTGTTCTAGTGGAGGATGAAGCATCAGCATACAGGCTGAGGCTGGGCTTGTTCCAGGGCACAGCTTTGGACGCTCTGACTCTGGACACAGAGAACTACCTGCATGACAACCAGAAATTCACCACTAAAGACAGAGACAACGACAACTACTTCCAAAACTGTGCCAAGCTGGAGTTTCAGGGGGTGCCTGGAGGAGGTTGGTGGTACGATGCTTGTGCTGGTGCCAATCTAAATCGCAGGAACGTCATCTATTGGCAAAAGGACTGCAACAAGGAGCGACTGTGCAAGTACGCATGGATGATGGTGAGACCTACAGACACAGTCAAACTGATTCAAAGCAGAGACTGCCAGAAGGATGAGCTATAAGGACACATTTTTTTTAGCATTTGTGATAAATGTTAGGGGTTCAGCCTTTTTTTTTTTTTTTTTAGATTTTCTTTCTAACGAAGACTAAAAAGGGTGACATCAGTAACTTTCTCTTTTTAGCTATTATGCTGGACATTGAATTCACCACGTTTTATTCAGAAATGCATGGACATGGACAAATGCATGGATCACAAAATACTTAAAAGAACAAAAAAAAAAAAAAGATCATCACAAACTTGAAACACAGTATAAAAAAATGCATCACGGTTTTAGCTCTAGCTTTGTTTCCAACATACACCATGTCAATACATGAAGCAAAGCATCTCTGTCAATCCCCAAATTGCAAGTGCAGATTACTGGGTTATCACAGTTACAAAAAGGTGTTTCATGACATTTACCTTTTGACACATGTAAAATATCTTTTGCATGTCATCTTCCATCCAATGATTACAGAAAGGAATATTTCACAGACAAACTGCATTTTTTTTTTTGCCACAGTACATTACAAGTTTGCCAGAAATACAATGAAGATATGATGATATGACATTGATTTAGCTACAGTAATTCAGAGAAAACAAATACTGTATTTCAGTGCTCAAAGAAAAAGAAAAGATCCTGAGGATGAAGAGTAATAAACAGGTTATAATAAACATGTGCTCTTAAATCCTCCATACTGTCTCTATGTAAACACTGATATTGTTCAGCAAGTTTGTCATGTAGTTTGAGTAAAACGACTGACAAGCCATAGGGTAGACCAGTAGGGTGCAGTTTGGTGTTCATTATTCATTTTTTAAATTTCATTTATGGAAGAAAAAGCAGAACATGTGATGTGAAAACAATGAATCTGAATCTATATTCACTCTTCTTACAAACGACAATGGCACATGTGAAAAAGGCTTTGATTATCATCAAGTTACAATCTTGACTTGAGCAAGCAGATTCTGACATCGGGACGACACGTATTAGCCCTTGAAAATAAAATAGCAACTCCAACATGTGCATCCTCAATACAAACACAATACCTACACTATTAAACAGATCTTTTGTGTAAAGCATCAACTTGAGGGGGAAACTGGCAATTTTAACACTTTAAAACCAATATACAGTGACGAATATTACACCGGAACAACTTTATTATGGTTTCCAATTATCCAACAGTGCATATTGAATACTCACAGTACAATATGAAATATTCTGTGTGTTAGTCAATAGCATTTCATTTTGGGGGAAATACTGATATTTTTAATATTGTAGAACCTATATACAGTGTCACTGATTACAGTATGTCGGGACAGTTTTATAATCCTCTTCCATTTCCATAGTTTGAGCAGTAAGTAACATACACTATAGCAGACCTGCTGATTAATATGCAACTTTTTAAGTTGCACCAGCTTCTTTAGATACCATATTTACTTTTGATATCACCAAATGTATCTAGAATTCAAGTTCATAAAGCCAAGATCATCAGTACAAACATGATTTGCAACCATTGTCATAAACCATCTTAAAAAAAAAATTCTTCATGTCAGTTTGGAGCTGACCACAGGATTCTGTCCATACCAGTATAGTTTCTCCTCAATCCGTTTCTTCTTCCACTGGCAGAGTAAGAGCATGCGGAAGGTCTTCTGAAAAGTCTTGTTACACAGGGCGTAGCACATGGGATTGACAGTGCTGTTGACATAGCACAGCCAGTAGCCCAGGTGCCAGAGGGAGAGGGGGATGCAGTCTGAGCAGAAGGTGGAAATCAGTACCATGATGTTATAAGGTGTCCATGTTAGGATGAAGGCCAGCAAGATAGCACTGAGAGTCTGAGCTGCCTTCCTCTCCTTGATCAACACCATCCTCTTTCTCTTGGTGATCTGGTTCTTCAGCGTGGCGTCTATGGGTTTAGATGTCGAGGAGGTGGATGGAACGCTCATGGACTCGGCCGAGGAAAACGTCGATGATGCCATTTTGGTGTCTCCATTTTTGCTCTGGTGCTCCACATGGGTGTCTTTGGCCATAGGTTTGAACTTGTAGGACACACACTTGCTGCTCCTCTGAGAGTTGCTTTTTGGTGGTGTCTGGAAGAAGCTGTCCTCGTCATAGCTGCTGAGCTGCTCGCTCTCACTGCCTACTCCGCTCTTGCCAGCTTCGCAAGCCTGGTTCCTGAATGAGGGCTGGAAGCCTCCTGGGGACACAGGCCTCTCCTCATCTTCTGAGGAGGCATAACTATTGAAGGTGGTCAGTTGACCAGCTTTGGACCACTCGTCATTGGTGGTGGCTGCTGATTTGGCAGCATTGCTCCTACTGGAAGACGACCAGGAGGCTTGGTTCCTGTCATGCGAAGCCGATCTTAGTTTACAGCTAAAACAGGATCTGATAATGGTCTTCTGAGGCTGAGTGACCCCAGAGTCTGTGGCATAGTTAATCCCCTGGAGCTCAGCCAGATCCTTGGTCCTTTTCTCTGTCTCCTTGTAGATTCGACAGTAGAGGATTGTCATGACTGACACGGGGATATAAAAGGCTGCAATCGCTGTCCCAAAGGTTATTACTGGCTCGGAGAAAAACTGGATCTGGCATTGCCTCTCGGGGACAGTTCGTTTTCCTACAAAGTACTGCCAGCAGAGTATTGGTGGAGCCCACAGAATAAGTGACACCAGCCAGGCTAAACCTATCATAATCCCAGCTCGTTTGGGAGTCCGTTTGGCCCTGTAGGTCAGAGGCCTGGTGATGGAGAAATATCTGTCAAAACTGATCACCAACAGATTCATGACTGATGCATTACTAGCTACATAGTCTACCGCTAACCACAGGTCACAGGCGAGGTTTCCTAGGGCCCAGTAGCCCATCAGTATATAAGAGGTATACAGATTCATGGAGAAAACACCTATGATGAGGTCTGCAGCTGCCAGACTCAGCAGGTAGTAATTGTTCACTGTCTTTAGTTGGCTGTTGACTTTAAAGGAGAGCATTACCAGAACATTCCCCACAATTGTGATGAGGCTGACTATAGCTGACACAGTCGCAATGGTGATCACCTCCCAGAGACTGTGCGTCACTAGGTGGATATCCATTGTACTGGTATTTACAGTGGTGTTCAGCATGTTATCCCCTTCCATGGTCTTGTGGTTATTGGCATCCAACCATGACAAGTGTGTTTTGATTTGTCATCTTCATGAAGATCTTCTGGGAAGAAAAGAAAGAAAAGGTCATACTTTAGTTCTGCAAAAAAAAAAAGAAGAAGTTCAATTTATGACCATTAGATGGCATAACTTAAGTACTTCACCAAATTGTCACATTCACACTGAGGAGGTGAATACACCAGATGTGTTTTGCTCTTTAAATGTAAATGTAAAACCTCTGCATGCCAAACGTCTCTTATAGATAATAACATTCTCTTCACTTTTAGTGAGTTATATAAGTTCTACGTTTTTCCTGATGCATTGTTTTTTTCTGTTGTTTGTCAATTGTATCAAATTAAAAGAAAAATCTTCACACAGTTCACAGAATAAGATCGAGTTCATGTGAGTATACCCATATGGAGCAGTTTAGGCAATCTCTGCAACCATCTGGCATATTTCAAAAATCCAGGTCAATACATAATTTTGCTCCTTGCTGTAAATCTATGCCATAATATTAATAGTGCATAAACTCAATTCATTAAGATGTTATGAATGATTTTGGTCCTTAGAGTCTGCTTCCATTCACCAATCACAAATGTCCTAAGTGTGTAAAAGAAGCATTTTTTTTATGTATCTGCTTTGATTGATGTTTGCAGAAAGTGTCACAGGGTGGCGGTTCCCAGAAAAATGTTGCAACAACACTGAAAAGGTTCTTAGGCTTTGAGGGACTTAACACAGAGAAACAAGCGCATTTGCTCCCACATCAAGAGCTACAGGCAATTTCCAGTCTACCTGCAAGTTTTTGGACTGTAGGATAAAAAAAAGAATTGTCTGGTTTTCAGGTTACTATATTGAATATTCTTAAACCAGTTATTGAAATACAACCATCCTCCATAGCTGAGCATACAAGGTAGCTTATGTGAGTAATTCTATCTCATGATCATAGATATATTGTAATGTAAGAAAAACACAGGCAAATCAAATGAAATAAATATTATTAATGAGAAATTACTATAATTTCTTTGTTCTTTATCATTCAAATGTGGTAACATAATTTCCAAAATTGCATCCAAAAGTGTATTAGTGAAAACCATCCCTGATGAGGGGGTTAATACTATATGTCATAAAATTTGCAAAAAGTGTATAACATGACAAATGAAATCTGAGCCTAGCTTTGAGTTTGCTGAAACATCCAAACCTCTGCCTACCTTTCAAACTCACTGTCAGCCATGCATCAAATTGCTATTTCAGCAGTTTGTACCTCATTTCTAAGAGGTTTGCACTAAAATAATCAAATAAGGAAAACATTTGCTCTGTGGAGAGTTTGTTTCCTGCAATACTCTACCTTCTCTGCGGCACTTTAGTCTATGAGATCATTCACAGAAACAGAGGGGCCTCTCTTTCAGGTAACTTTTTGTTACCTGAACTGGCCCAGCACCGTCGAATGACCTGCATGATGGAAAAATGACTTGTCACCACAGTGTTTAAGCACTGCTGTTATGAATAACTAAGTCATAACCACGTTGAGTGCAGTGGTACAACTATCAGACACTACTGACAGAGTAGTGTAGTCACATATCACCCCCTTTACCAGTAGAGGGCAGTAAACGCCCTCCACATACGAAAGCTCATAACCTACATGGTCCTTCCACTATCAGTTTGGAACAAGTGGTGTGTGTGCACATTTCATCCCTGGGTGCTGGACACTACAATTAATAGTGGATGAGGGGCTATCCCTGCCAACCTGGACCTGTGTTTTTGAAAAAAGCCCACGGGAAATTTCTATGGCTTGATGACTTTCACCTACAAATGCATGACTGTGCCATGTGATCTTGCTCTTGCCTTGAAGGTTCTTATTAAATGTATTGAAGCAGCATTAAATCCACTCAGTTTGAGAACATTTGCATATGCCAATGATTACACCCTGTGGGGAAAACACAGATTTCTACCCATTCAGACTGAACAGTATTTGATTGTGAGGCTATGGTGAGTCGTACTTGTCCACAGTGTCTGTTGAGCTAATAATTGTTCACTCCCTCATTCCAGCTTTGCAGAGAGGACACTCCTCTCTGAGGAAATACCTCAGCCAACTGGGCATCGGTATTTTCAGCCATGACAATTGCTCTGCTTAAAATGAGGGAATTTCAGCACCGTGTTGCAGCCCAGCATCTGTGTCCTGTGTATGACCTTCCAAGCTCTAAAATTATATGGTTAGATTGTCCCCCATTGTTGCTTCCTATTGATAATGACCAGTACACCCACAGAGTATAAATCCACCATCAGGGAGGCACAGACTCCGTGAGGCTCTCAGTGTGGAGCATCAATGAACTTAGGCACAGATCACCTCCGCAGAGAAAATCCTCCATGTGCGTAGTAACAATCGAACCAGTCTAATCCCGTGAAACATGTTCATGAAGAACCAAGGAAAGCAGTCAATTAATATATTAGCACACTTATGGGGGCCAATTAGCTCTCAAAGGTAATGTAATTCAGATCCTGGCTGACCAACCCTGACCGCTACTAGTATCCATAGACCAGGAGTGTAGGTGGGCTCTGACAAAAACACTACAACAGGAAAATTGTGGTACGTATCAGGACATTGTAGCTTCAGAAAACTGAATGCAAGAAACTTAGCTAAATCCTCTCTTTGAGGCTGAGATATCAAACCAAGAACTTAAGGTTACTAAATGTAATACTGGCTTAAAGTTATTTCATTTTCCCAAATCCCACAGTGCAAGTTTTCAATAGTTTTATTAACCCAAAATGCCCAACCTACGGAAGGTTATTGTACTCTGAGCTCAAGTAAAGGGAAATCTCTTAAATGCTTTCTCTGCTGGAGAGTCAATTCATACCCACAATACAACGTTTTGGACATAATAACTAACTCGCACTTGAGCAATGACTTCCTCACTCACTGGCATTCTTTTGATGGTGCCAGATTAGCAGGAGTGCCAGTGGCAGCCCGAGGCCCACACAAATAAAATTCCAGTCACTGCGGGGGTCCTCCTGCAGGACTTGGATTGTCCCTCATCTTGTTATATAATGGCGTTTCGCATCACATCACTCAAATCCCCACATGATTACACTGTTTACCATTAGGGGTGCCATGAATCTGTCCACAGAATTCCCTGCTATTTTCTGGTATGTACAAACTTAGCCATTGTTTTTTTTTTCTTATTGAGTGTTTATCTTAGCATGTATCATTTATCACAAAGAGGCAAAATAGCACTTTGGTTTCCAAAGCTAAGGTTTTCATTTTTCCACACAGAGAGAAGGAACGTTCTTACTAACTCAAAGCCTCAATAACAATTTTAGCCTCAGTAGCAGCATTGCCAACTTTGGTCTTGACTGTCAACAACTACTGGAGGGACTGTCATGATTTGGTGCATATTTTCATGTCACCTTCAGAATAAATTGTACTAATTTTGGTTATAATCTCATTCCATAATCAGGTTAAGATTTTACATAGTTAATTACTGTGATTATCATCACCAAATACCTGCAAGAAATAACATTGCCATCAGCCTCAGCTGTACTTTGTGTTTAGCACTAATTAGCAAATGTCAGCATGCTAACATGCTAAACTAAGAAGGTGAACACGGTAAAGATCAACATATTAGCCCTGTCATTGTGAGCATGTTAGCATGGTGACTAGCCCAAAGCACTGCTGTCTTTACAAAACTGCTTACATGCCCATCGGCTCTTTGGTTGTTTACCTCTTATTAGCAGGGAAGTAACACAGAAATATTTCAGGTGTTAGCCATTTGTCAGTGTGTTTATTCCCAATTAACAAGTGTCAGCATATTAAAACACACTAAACTTAGATTTTTGCACGGCATCAAACATTTTTCCAGTTACCAATATTATTGTGGCTATAGACTTTTAGTGTTGTTTACAGTGTAATTCCTAGTTTATGATGTTTTGTCTAATTTTACTCTCTGGGCACATTTACTCTGGGTAGGAATTCAGTATATCTGCTAGTGTAAAAGAGGTTTTATTGTTTAATTTTTCATAACAAAAGTGGATGGGCTGAACCATCAGTGATTATGTATGATGCCACAAAAAGAATTAATTAATTATGACTGGTACAGTGTTTGAGAAACAAGGATATTCCTGAGTCATTGATGACTGTTGTATTGCTTATACACACAAACTCAAGCACGCACACACACACACACACACACACAAACAACAGACTTGTTCTGCCTCTTGACCTCAAGAGGTAGAACAAGTCAAGCTTGCTAATAGCTTCTAAATCGAAGCAGGAAGCATTTTAATGGTACACTCAGAGCTCAGAGAGTGGGGTAAACATGGACTGCATCACTATAAATAGTGAATATGGTCTGTTCTGGACTGTTTTTGGCCTTTTTATGGATGCAGTTTGGTGTCAGATATGACGCACAGTGTGGAAGAGCTTTGTGACGCTGTCTGGTCAGAGGAAAAAAAACAGGGGATTTGAAAAACAAAGACACTACTGCAGAATTTCTGGTAGCATAGGGCTTGTATTTTACATAGTGTATGTGAATAAAAATATAATACCCAGAGGTCATTACAGTGAATCAGTGCCAGATAGTGGTGCACAGAAATCTTGCTCTTATACCGATGCCAAGAAAACCAAGTCTTCCTTATTACATATGCATCCTAAGAGTATCAGACTGCTCACTGAAATATTGTGTGAGCACATTGTGCATAAGTAATGGTCATTGATCCAGTGATTAACAATGCCCAGTATGTGAGTGAGGACATACTAGGTAACACAAATCCGTCCTGAGCCTCCATACTGATTGCAGAGGCGGACATGTTGAACAGCGGCTTCCTGCGGGTCCTACTGGCACCTGGCCATCACTGCTCCTGTGCTGTAGTGCCATACACTGGCCCCCACCAGGCCTCCCAGTCATATGTAACCTTTTTCTACACTCTCCTGTGGCTGCAGCACAACTGCTCTGCACAGCAAAAACAAGAAAGCGAAAAGTGTGTGTGTGTGTGTGTGTGTGTGTGTGTGTGTGTGTGTGGCATTTGTGAAAGAAAGGGAAAGAAGATGAGAGAGACCAACAGAAGAAGAAGAAAAGGAAGCACGAAGCAAAATAGAGGTGAGTCAAAGCAAAGAAGGTGAAGGACACCATGTGTGTCTGCGTGGTGAGTATGTATGATGTGCAAATCAGCCCAGAGCTCTTTGGCACAATGGTTCGTGCATGCTGTAATCAATCCACTGACCCATGGTTAAGACTCCTGTATACGTGGTGATCTGGAAGAGGACCTAAGAAATGCTTGAATCATTCTGTATATCAGCCATCGGATGAGGATTATAAATGTTCACATTAAGAGCTGCTCCAAAACATGCAACCTGAAATATTTATCAGTGTGTTAGTGTTGGTCGCCAAAGATAGAATACAGCCATTACAGGCTGAATCTGACATCTGACTTCATATATATATATATCTATATATATAGATATATATAAAGTCAGATGTGGGAAAAGATGAGAGCATCTCTGAGGATGTCTGTTTTTTAACATAAACACACTTTTTTTTATTCAGAGCCTAACATTTCTCTCCCCTGTGATTTTAAATCAACCTTCAGTCTCTCCACTGTGATGAGAAATGATGAAAATGATCATTGGATGAATATTATTATCTGCTTATGGACACCACAGTGGTTTTGGCAGCTGCTGAAGGGAATTAAATGATAACACTTGAAGCCTCTAGGAGTTCTATTTTATGAGCAACTACCACATTTCATTAATGCCCCATCATTTGGATAATGATCTGGCTATAAACTCATTTGTGTGAAGAGCTCTCTAAATATGAGTCTTTGTCTGTTGCTGCCTGTGCGTGTAGATTGTCTGTCATTTGTTCCCAATTCGTAACACGCCGGTTTTCTTTAGGCTGATGTTACATTTATCTGCAAAAAAACAAAAACGGTTGTTTGACTAACCTCCATGCTGTTCAAATATTAATTTTCAATGAATGGTGGAAGCATATTCTAAGTTGAGGGGACATGCAAAACCACTCAAAAACAAATTGACAATAAAACATATCTGTGTGTCTCCCTCTCAAGT